AACCAAATAGCACTCAATTATCCTATCCATCGCCAGGTACAGCTATGTTCCCACCGGCTTTCGGTGCACCCTTTCCAACCCCTCAATCATTACTACCTCACGTATCAAAACCACTCGAGGAACAAATTGGTTTACAAGCTTCGCCTTGTACAGCAGCTTTTACTTCATCATCACATAATATGGCCTTTACAGCAGCGATGGTGTCACCAAGTAAGTTACCATCATCTCCTCCAACTCAATCAGTTCTGGATGAAAATGAATCTGAACACGATCGCACCGCTGATCTCTATGAAGAACACCAACAAGAGCAACATCAGGAACAACTTCCACAGAAAAATCAAGAGCAGATATTGATAGAAGAAAGTTCAGCAGCTGCGGTTGCAACAGCATTTCTCAATAGTGTTGTAGAAAGTGATATATCTGAATGCAATGTCGAAGATCAACTGAGTGAGCAGATCCAAGCAAGTGATAAAAATACGCTAACACATACGGGAAAGAAGTCTCCTGCTAAGCCTACACGAACTTCGGCTCGTGTAACTTCGTTGCAAGGTAAATCACCGGGTAAATCACCACGACAGCATGAACCCACGAAACTTAATTCAAGTAGTCGTAGTCGTGGTCGTAGTATCAAATCTAATCAACATTCTGGACAACGTGGTCGCGGTCGTGGTCGAGGTCGAGGTAGGGGTAAGGCATCACAACATAACACTTTACACGGTGAAGATTCAATTCACAACAAACTTGTAGGAAGTGTATATGATTTTGATTCGGATGAAGACTCACCTAGTGAGACAAATATTGCCGATTTACGTACAATGCGTGAACGTAAAAAATCTGTTGAACTTTCAGTCGTTTTGGGCAATGATCGACGTGATGGAATTGGATCATTAAATACTGACACATTAAGTGGCCAACACTCAAGTTCTGAAGAGCAGCAAAATCAACGCATATTCGTCGGTACATCCTTGGCATTTGGCGGAGATTCTATAACAGGTGCTGAATCTGAATCTGGAGGGGGATGTAGTTTTAGCGACCCTGTGTTACCATTATTACCTGGCCCCGTAGATATGCGTACATATAATTTGAGTTTCGAAGCACAAGATTCTACATTACACGGTCGATCTTATTCTAATCATCTGTTAGACTCCCTGGCGAGTGTTTCGACTGAACAGGCCATCCCTGATATCGAAGAAGATTTAGATAAAGAATTGCAATCTGCATTTGTAGCTGAGCAACAATTACAGCAACCTGATCATACAACCAGAGGTGTGCCCCTTGAAATTACTTCAGCTGCACTTGTTGATTCTAGTCGGGTGGCACTTGCGGATTCCCGAAACCAACTTAAGGTAAAGATCAAAGGACCCTTTCTCGATGCTAACTATACAACTGGATCAACAGTACCATTGCCTCTTGTTCAGCAAGTCAAACCAATTGTTCCTCCACAGTCAAACAGTGTTGCAGTTGTGAGTTCTGGAACTTCGAATCTTCGTCGAATGCGTAAAAAAGAGCTGCTACGTCAATACTGTTCACAAGATATGAATATGGATGATCCTGTAACAGGTAGCATTGCTTCTGTACCAATTATTATGCCACCTATCAATCGTACTGTTATTACCATACCAAAAGCTGTAGCAAGCATGACAAGTATACCAACCCGTGAAGACTATAAAGCTGTGGTTGACGCAAATATGGAAAAGAAACGACGCAAAGAACGTGCAAGTATTGGCAGTTTTAGTGGCCTTCTTGATGAGATACCTATTATAGAAGAGGATCAGCAGCTCGGTGTTTTAGAACGTCGGCGTTCATCTTGTGGTCCAGCAGCTGGGACTGAGCGTCGTCGTGGTCGGCAGCCAAGGCCATTCACGCAAACTAATATATCAAGTGGTACTGGACCACCCAAGCTCAAGATCAAAATTGGTGGAAATATGCCAGGACAGGAAACATCAGCAAGTTTGCAGCAGGAAGATCGCAGTAGTAATAGGCCACCTAAGAAGCGTCTATGCAGTATACCAAACATGCCAAGCATGGAAGAACTTAAACGCGAAAGTATGAAATATCGACGCATGATTATGGCAGATTTCGTGAACAGTGGTGAGAAAACAGGAAAACTACGCAGAGAAAAAAGGGATAAAAATGGAAAGCGCAAGAAGAAACAGAGCAACAAAAAAGGTCATGTGCAGATACTAGAAGATGGCGCAGCGCCTCCGAAACTGATTATAAGGTTAGGAAAAAGCAATCAATCAAGCGGTGACGAAGTCGCCATTGAAAGCATAAATGCTTCGATTTCTGCACCATTGGTTACAATATTATCAACAACGATAACTGCCACTACTACGTCAATGACACGTACTGTAGTTTCTACAAACAATTATGCCCAGCCAAGACTAGTTTTCTCACCATTGGCCGTGCCTGAGGATAATATGATTGACAACTCTGAACGTATTGGAGATATATATAAAAAAGAAAAGCAACTTGAACACTCATCGGTGAGTGCATTAAGAAATATACGGTGCGCCAAAATGTCACCGATTAGATTGAAATTAACACGCTGTCAAGAGGGATATGAGCTAAAAGCACCGGGATCATTAGGAGTGCAGCAAACATCGCAACTTGGAGATTCAAGAAATGAACAGGCTTATGAAAGTAAATCTAAAAATGTGGAGGAGAAAACATCGTCTTCCAGAGGGGACGAAAAACTTCCGTTGTTGGAGCAGTCAGCAACGGCGCAACATAATTCGTCTGGTTGTCCCCCAGCACCGCTCCCGCAAGGTTGCCAAGTTAGGTGATAATTAATCATGACTGTATAATAAAAGAAATAGTACCCTAAGAAATCTATTTCTTATATAAACATTGATTAAATAACAATTATATACATGCGTGTATGATTGTATACGTATGTACGTGTATGTATAAATGATATTCATATAGAAACGATATCCAATGTAAAAGTGGAAAGACTCATTAGTTAACAAATTATTGATGATAAATTGCGTTGTAAGTGTGTAAATTATTTGATTAAAAATAAGTGTAAATGATCTGAGGGTGAAGTGAAATGTCACAAAGTGCCCAAATTCACCGTAATTTTTAAAGCATGAGTGCATTTCAAACTGAGGTCTGAAAGAAGTCAAGAAAAGAGCAAAAAAGAGAAAAAAGTGTTGTGCGCTGCTCGTAGGCAAAGGTGTCGCTCATTCTTTAGAATTATATTGATCATGTATGTACTATTGGCTAAACAATTTCTTTAAAAAATCGTATGTTTCAATCTATTCTCTGAATACTGCTATCTAAACAGAAATTAACTTAAAATTGTAAATGGAATTAATATATTTTTTTTTTTATAGTACATAATATAAATATTAATTCATTTTTAACATTTAATAGTCATCGACTAAATACTAAATATTGGTAACCTAATTATTTATATTAACTAATGGTAAATTTAAATCAACTCATTCTAGCAATAAACTAATCTTGAATAATCGTAAATTAGTATATTTCATTTGTGGTTAATTATTTTACGTAATTTAATAACATACATATGCAGTTGAAGTTAAAATTTATTATTTAAAATATTCCTACCAATAAACTTAAAAATAAATACATATTTGCAAAATTTGCAGAATATTTAAACACAATTATTTTTATTTACTCGAAAGAAAATATAATAGTATTTGAGTAGAATATATACTTGTTTGTAACTCATTATTGTTTCTAAATTTCATTTTGAAGGAACAATACCGTGGTGTGGTATATAATCAATCAAAGTTTCTTATTTGATATAATATTGGCATTTGAACTGTATTTAATTGTTAATATGTTTGTATTATTTTGTACATTAAATATTTGTTATATGAAACGATGAGTCAATCTACTTTTTCATTATTGAAGAACTATTTAATAAAAATTTTATTTCTGTAAATATACAAATTTTAAGCTTTCATTTTCTGAAATATTTATTATAAAATAAAACAATAATTATCAATAAAATAATTTGAGATTAATAAAAACTAACAATTTTTATTATATATCTTTATTTTTCTTTAAAATAAAGTTTTTAAATAGTTTGAATATAACGTTTAATAATTTGTTTATTTTTTATTACATTGTTTCAAGTAAATATTATATTTAAGTAAAAATAAAAATATTTTAATCCGTGCAGAATAACATCAAAATAAATTTTATACAAACGATATACATGGTTGTTTTATGGAAAAGTATGTAAATAGATTTCATACATAAAAATAATTAACAAATTGTTTAATTTTATTATTTCCAGTACATATGCGTACTTTTTATGTGATGAGAAATGATTTATTTAAAGACAAATAATTCTTGTAAAATACGCGTTTTTATTTATGAAAACGAATACTTTATTTATTATGCCATAATATCTAATAGGCAGTTAATTGTGATAAAAATAATTGATGTTTCTAAGAATATACACTTTTTAGCTAACATCTCTTAAAAACTTATAAAGAGATTTCAAAATGTATTAATTTATATTTATTTGTTATCTATCTGTTAATCGCTTAAATTTATATTTTATGATTGAGCAGGAATATGATTTAATGGATACTTAAATAAATTATTAAATAAAATTTATGTATTATCGTTAAGGTTAAAGTAAAAAAGTATTTTTATATTAATTCAGTTTAAAAATAAAATAATATTGGACTTTTTTTATATTAAATTACTTAAAAATAAATTAAAACTATATTTTCATCAAATTTACATCATTAGATCAAATTAAATTTATATTAAAAAAACAGTTATGTAATAGTTTAATCATAAGTAACAAATAAATAAAACAGTATAATTAAGTTGAATCAAGTTTTAACGTTTTAAACTAAAATACATGCACTACGTATTCTTTTTACATATTTTTTTAATTTATTATGTATATAATTATTAAAGAATATATACAATTTCAGAAGGTTAATTTGTTAAAAGTATATATTTTAAATAATAATAATTTAATAGATTTTCAATATTATTAATAAATAATGTATTGACAAATTTTTCCTGAGCGAATGATCGACACCTTAACGAGCATTTAATTGTAATTTAGTTCATAAATTTTATAAGTTGACTGTATAGAAAAAAAAACACAACTTGATAAATCACATATAAAAATCTAATATTTATTAAAATTGTAAGGGTAATTTTAATAAAAGAAATATAAAAATTCAAATAACATAATTCTGAAAATAAGTAAATAAAAGTAACAGGAAATTAATAATGACAAAAAAAATTAATTGCAATGATGTAAAAAATTTAAATATTAGTTTGTCTTACTATTTTCTCGCACATACATTTCTTTACTATTTCACTGAATAGATGTATAAAAAATCATTTTTTAATTTATACATTAAGTAAAATTCTGAAAGAACAAGATATGATTTTTATAAAATATATAATATTCAGAAGATGAGATTAAATATAAATGAAGTTTTTAATAAAATATTAGTTATGTTAAAAGAATCCTTTCAGAATATTATAAAAATTTATTCGCAAGAGGCCTTTCGTTATTGCAGTTATATACAAATACAGTCCTGTATTTTGCAAAAAAAAACACTTATATATCTTGTCATTTTTATTACCTTTTTACATATAGATGAGCAATTAAACGATGATTCATCAGTTCTTAAGATGCGTGTGTATATATATATATATATATATATATATATATATATATATATACTTTATAATCAATTTTCAAATATTATGTTATCGATTATAAAGTTAATCAGCAAGATTTTTTCAAAATATTAATGGAGTAATAATGGAACAAAAGAAAATTTTTTCTTGACATTTTCATAAATTTTTATTTATATAAAACATATTGTATATATTTAGTTAAATTATCTGTTATCTACAATTGAGAAAGAAAATTAATATCTTAAGTGATATTATTATCATAAAACTTTTGTGCCATTTTTTACCAATGTAATTTGTGAGCTATAAATTTATATTACATTTTATATAAAAAAATTATAAAAATTTTTTTATACCTATGTACGTCTGTATATTTATAATTGATTTATACCGATTTTAAATTTACGCCTTTATTTATTAACATTAAGAAAATAAGCCCAGACAGTGTTCATACGAAAAGTGATAACAAATTTTTTCTTTACGTTTTATTTAATACAATTTTTTAATAACAGTAAATATTATAACAATCATACGCAAAAATCAAATATATTATATTTAAAACAATTTTCTGATATATTATTATTTTAATTTTAAATATGTAAATTTGATATATTGTTTGTGTCGGCACTATACAATTTGAATAAATTAGTATTTATTGAATTGGTATATATAAATTTTATTGAATTTAATGTCAAGTGAAATAGCCCATTAATTTCCAAAATTTTGTGTAATACAAATTTTGAAGTGTTGTACGTAATAAATTACTAAGAATAACTCCATTTTTATTAAAATAACAAGAGTCTGAATTAATAGAAAATATGTAATATTATTAACATTAAAAATAAATTAAATTCACTTTATGTAACACACATGTCTGGGCAAAGAAAAATATTCAATAATACAAAAATAAAATAAAGTAAAGTTGGCAAATTGTATATAATATATATTTTCATCTTCAATATGTTGTGAAAATCAAAGTAATAGATCTATTCCTGCGTAAATATGTAATTGCAAATTTATGCATGCATCTTTCATAAAAATGTATAATAATCTTCCAGATGCGTCAACTTTTTCTATTAGTAGTTGTATAAAATGAACAAGATCAAAGTATGCGTAATATTCTGCAATATATTCTTGAAATATATCTTCTTCCGTTGGATTATTTCGTATTTTCGTTTATTCTTTATAATGAACATTTTATTGCGAGAACGAATAAAAATAGAATATAGATAAATAGAGTGAGAATGTAGTGCGTATACGTGCACGTGCGTGCCTAAGAGAGAGCGAGAAAGAGAGGAACTGATTGAAATAGTATTTTCTGTTAATATGTATATTTATGAATTTGAAAAAATTAGAATAGAAATTTGTTAGAAACAATTAAAGTAAGATCTTTAATAAGTCATTACAATTCAATTAGAGGGCAAAAATTCATTTTCTTATTTTTATTTATACTAAATTGAATAGATTATTATTTTTATTTTATGTAAAAGTGATTATTCTAAATATTACAGTTATATTTTTCGTCTGTGTCCGAAAAATATATAATTTTGTATGAAATCAATGCATAAACTAAAAAATTTTTTTTGAAAAAACTTCAAATTGACGTGATGAAAGAAAATTAAAAATTTACAACGATGTATTTTGAATAGATGAATTTTATAAACTGTGTATCTAATTTTATTTTATTATAATTAACTACTTTTTTATTAAGTAATATGTACACGAGAATCAGTTATCTTCAAGTTTATTTATATACCATTATTGTATTTTCATTATTCTTCTATAAATGTAAGTTTGGTAGCGAAAGAATTGTCTATATTACTAAATCATACATACGAAATTGATTTGTTATCGATTTTCAAAGACTCGTGCTTCATATCTGGCATTGATTATTATTATTATATTATTTTAGAGTATATTGTATTATTAATGCGTATTGTACATTATCAATGATAAGAATGTTTTAAGAACCTATATATTGTACAGTTTTAGATAAGCGCCCATTTAGTTAATTTTAAATATTGTCTTTTATTACTGAATAGACAAAAGGCTATCTAATAATAACGATTATTATAAAAAATTAATAATATGATAATAATAATTTTAATGTTATACTTATAAATATATACATAGTTTTATAACCAAATGCAAGATAAATAATATGATACTTAGTTATTGTATATAGTG